AAAAATAAACATACTGTTATCACACTTGGTATTTAACCAAAGGAGTCGAAAACTTATGTCCATCCAAAAACCTGCCATTGAATGTGCACGGCAGCTTTACTCATCACTGCCCAAACTTGGAACTAACCAAGATGTTCTTCCATAACTGGGTGGATAAATAAACTGTGCTATGTCCAAACAATGGAACATTATCAGCTCTAAAAATAAATGAGTTATCAAGCTATGAAAACACACGAAGGAGACTCAAATGCATTACTAAGTGAAAGAAACCCATCGAAAAAAGCTACATACTGCATGATGTTAACTATACGACATTCTGGAAAAAACAAACTATGGAAACAGTGAAAAGATCAGTGTTGCCAGGGGCTGGTGGGAGGGAGGGGTGAGTAGGCAGAGCCCAGAGAAGTTGGGAGGCAATGAAAAGACTTTGTATGATACTATAGTGGTACATACTTGTCATTACACGTTTGTCCAAACCAACACCGAGAGAGAAGCCAAACGCCAACTGTGAATTTGGGTGACTATGATGTGTCGATGCAGGGTCATCAGTTGTGACCAGTGTTCCCCTCTTGTGGGGGATGCAGATGGTGGGGGAGGCTGAGCATGTGTGGAGACAGGAGGTATATGAGAAACCTCTACACTATCATTCAATGTTGCTGTGAACCTAAAACGGTTCCGAAAATAAAATTTATTTTTGAAAAACATTTTCTGAGATAACGATTGTATTAAGAATTTCTCTCCCAGATATACCACTCTGTGTAGACAAACAAAAATTTCCAAGGAATTCATTGTTTGCAGCCACTGCTGTGCCCTCACTCTCTAAAACCGGCGTCGCCTCAAGGAGAAGGGGAGTCAGTCAAGAGGTCTCTGTACCAAGACTCTTACAAAGCAAAGCTGCTCACGAGAGTGTGCCCACTACTGGACATATGAAGAAATTTCACTGTGACAGGCCTGGCACCGTGGAACTTCGTGAAATTAGACGTTTTCAGAAGTCCACTGAACCTCTGACTCTCAAACTTCCCTTCCAGTGCCTGGTGCGAGAAATTGCTCAGGGCTTCAAACAGATCTGCGCGTCCAGAGCATAGCTATGGGTGCTTTGCAGGCAGCAAGTGAGGCCTATCTGGTTGGCCTTTTTGAAGACAGCAACCGGTATGCGGTCCATGCCAGACATGTAACAATTATGCCAAAAGACATCCAGCTAGCACGCCACACACATGGAGAATGTGTTTAAGAATTCAGTATGATGGGAAACATTTCATTCTTTTTAAAAAAGCTCTTCTTCCCTCTGGCTGGCGTAGCTCAGTGGATTGAGCGCGGGCTGGGAACCAAAGTGTCCCAGGTTCAATTCCCAGCCAGGGTACATGCCTGGGTTGCAGGCCATAACCCCCAGCAACCGCACATTGATGTTCCTCTCTCTCTCTCTCTCTCTCTATCTCCCTCCCTTCCCTCTCTAAAAATAAATAAATAAATAAAATATTTAAAAAAATATTTGAAGAAAAAAAAAAAAGCTCTTCTTCCTGTTATTGTTAGTTCTGAATGTTAAATATTTTTTCCCATGGGGTCAAAATGTATATAAGCATAATATTGCAAGCAGAAAATAGGGGACAGAAACCAGGTATTGGCAGTTTTTCCATTTTCATTTGCCTGTGAATGTTAAAATATAAATGCAGGGACATTCCGCATAAATGCAAGTCGAAGTGTTTCAGTGAACAAGTTTCAGCAGTTCAACTTTGTAACACTTATAAACCTGTTAAATGTTTCCCGACAGTGCCAGCATTTGGATTTTTAAAAAACAAGTAAATTTCTTACTGATGGCTACGAAATGGAGTTTGTAGCATTTTTATCATTCTGTAGACTCCATTCATGCACTATAGTTATCTAACTGAGTTGTCCTGCCTACAAGCATGTTTTTAATGTGGTCTGCCTTCTGTGCTGTTCCTGTGAGTTTGCTGTTAAAATACATTAAACTATAAAAAAAAATTCCAAGAAATTTTACTACAATATTTTTATAGCAAGAGCCTGGAAACATTCTTAATATCCATCAACATAGGGTTGGTTTAAAAAAAATGTTAGTGTATCGATACGATAGAATATAAGGCAGCCATGTGGAAGAGGAAGGCACTCTGGAAAACAGTATGGAGGCTCCTCAAAAATGAAACATAAGATTGCACATGATCCAGCACTTCCATTCCTGAATATATAGCCAGAAGATTTGAAGCAAGAACTCAAACCAATACTTGTACACCTATGTTCATAGCAGCATTATTCACAGTAGCCAAAAAAATGGAAGCAACCAGCATCCATGGCCAGAAGAATGAATAAACAAAATGTAGTATAGACACACTGGAGTGTCATTCAGCCCTTAAAAAGTGGGGATAATCATACATACTACAGCATAGATGAACCAACCTTGAAATATGTTACGTGAAATAAGCCAGCCACATCAGGACAAATACTACATGATTGCAGTTACATGAGGGACCCAGAGGAGTTAAATTCTTGAGACACAGAATAAAATGGTGGTTGTCAGGGCCTGCGGGGAGGGGGATGAGGAGTCAGTGTTGGATGGATATGGAGGGTTAGTTTGAGATGACGAAAAAGTCTGGAATTGGGTGATGGTGGTGGTTGCACAAAACCATGAATGGACTTAATGGCACTGAAAATGGTTTAAATGGTAAATTTTATGTTATGTGTATTTTGCCACAAAAAAATACTACCCCCAAATATGAGATCATTTGATGATGCAAAAGAAATAAATAAAAAGTTGGTTTCAGAAACAGAAAAGTCATTTCTGTGTGTACTGGTATGGAACAATATGAATATTTTAAGTGAGAAAAATGAAGGCAGAACAATGGAATATGACTACCATTAGTAAAAGAAAGAAAAGAATATTTTCACAAATGTATGTGTCTGTGAAAGTTATGTTTAAGTGTGAGATGCAAACACACACACCCCCGTGCATGACAGAATCCTCATGAAAGGGCTTACAGGCACTGGCAGAGCCGCATCTCTGGGATGCAGACCTGTGGGCTGCCCACTGGAGGTGTCAGGAAAGTCACTTTTAAATGTATATCCTTTTCAAGTTCTTGAACTTTGAACCATGTGCATGTACTAACCATTCAAATACCTTTAAAAATATGCTTTTAACAATAATGTGTGCACTGCCTTTGCAGGATTTGGTAAGGCAGGAAAGAGAGCTATCATCCCAGCTGTTGATGAAATTGTATGCAGAAAGAGGCAGAAATGGAAACTTCTACCTCGTTTCTAAAGCAACGCACACAGATCATGCAGGCCCCTGAGGATGACTTTGGGCAGGCGCGATGGGATGTTCCCACAGGTGGGCTGATGGATTGGAACCAGGCTGCAGGGCCGGTGGACCTGACTTTACCCAGGAGGCAGAGCAGCACTGGGGAAGATTCTGGCAGGGAAGTGACAAGATAAAAGGAAAGGGCACAGGGGACGGTGGGGGAGGTAGATCAAGGTGCAATGTGGACTTAGCCTCCAGGGCATGAGTGGGCAGCTGCCTGAGCGCTGGCAGGCTGGGGACAGCAGAAAACAACGGGGGAGGACAGATAAGAAACACCAGGCACAGCAGATCTCCGTGGAAGAGGCCTGAGACAGAAGCCCTGAGCTAGAGGAGGAGCAAAGAACAGAAGCAGCGGAGGGAGGTCCAAGGGGAAGACTCAGAGGAAAGGAGGGTATGATTTCTACCCCCAGTCACTGGTTTTGAAACCTGGCCATGCCTCAGATTCACCTATAGAACGTTTTTATTTTAGATTGTATTTATTTATTTTTAGAGAGAGGGGGAGGGAGGGAGAGAGAAGGAACATTAATGTGTGGTTGCCTCTCACACACCCCCTACTGGGGACCTGGTCCACGCCCCAGGCCTGTGCCCTGACTGGGGATCGAACCTGTGACCCTTTGGTTTCCAGGCCAGCAACAGTCAATCCACTAAGCCACACCAGCCAGGGCAGATTCACCTACAGAACTTTTAAAAAAATATAGATTCCTAGTGTAACCGGAAAAGACACCGGCGTTCAGGCTTCCTGTCACTACCAAATCCAATAAGCAATGACAGCGATTGAATCTTTTATGGGCGCTTTATTCAGATGGCCAGCAATCCGAGAAGACGGAGGATTCACACACTAAAAAACCATCTTCCCCTCTCTTTCCCTGCCAGATCTTTTATAAGGGGGTGGGGGAGGACAAACAAGGTGCAGTGAGGGCTTTGAAATTCAGGGAGGATTAGGTGAGCAAAGCTGCAGTATTCCTGTTCCCAAGGGTGGGGGTGGGGGTCACACAAAAGGCCCGGATGCCTCCAACATGTCCCCAGGCGGTAATCTCTAGCCAATGCCCCAGGAGGTCGGCTGCTTTTCCCAGGAGCCAGGATGGGCCTTATCTGTAGTTTCTGAAACAAAAGCTCAACATACACATTACTTGCTAGATTTACAGCTTTTTACCTTCAGCTAAAATTTTCCAAGTCTTGAGTCCCCTATCACTAGCTCCTATCCTAAATCTTCTAAATTAAAAATGGAGGAGTGGGAGAGGCAATAGAGCAATATTTATACCCTCTCCACCTCTAGCCCCCAAGTCCAGACTACCATCATCTCCCACCAGAGACACAGCAGGTATGTACTGGTCTCCCGCTGTTACTCTTGTCCCTTCTCTTATAATCTATGCTTTTCCGCAGGACAGCTGAGAGTGATCCTTTAAAAACCAAAGTCAGGCAGTGCCCTTGGCCATCCCCCGAATCTGTCTCTTGCTTCAACAGGGCTTGCACGGAGCAGACCCACGGACGCCCCTTCTTCTTGCCTCCAACCACCCCCCAGCCTCTTTTTCAGACACCACTTTCGGAACCACCTCTGCCATCCTCAGCCTCCGAGACCAGCCAACGCGTTTTTTGACCTTAACTCCTCATTGCCAAGCAACCGTGAGCTCTTACGCTCGTCAGAATTTTCCCACCGAGGTGGAGCCTGCCGTCCACCACCTGGTCACCCTGCATGTGTGGGGCCCCCCACACCTACCTCTCCCTGGGCTTCTCCTTCCACCAGGAAGCGGTGGCCCTGAAGGGCGTGGGCCACTTCTTCCCCAAGTTGGCTGAGAAGTGGGAGGGCACTGAGTGTCTCTTAAAGATGCAGAACCAGTGCAGTGGCCACATTCTCTTCCAGGGCAAGCTGAAGTCACCCAAGATGAGTGGGGTGAAACTCAGGAGAAGAACCTGGACCAGGTCCTGGGCTCTACTGTGCAGACCCTCATCTCTGCGACTTCCTGTGAGCCACTTCCTGGATGAGGAAGTGAAACTCATCAAGAAGGTGGGCAACTGGCTGACTAACCTCCGCAGGCCATGGCCCCCAGGCTGGGCTGGGCAAGTGTCTCTTCCGAAAGGCTCACCCTCGAGCACGACTAGGAAGGAGCCTTTGGAGTCCAGAGGCCTTTGAGGGACCCTTCTGCATTCCCCTGGTGTCTGGCTTTTGCCAGGGAGTAACTCTCCCTGAAACCACTGGGCATCCTTTTAACCACCCTGGAGCTCCCTGCCCATATGTTGCACCAAATGGAAACAATAAAGCTTTTTGCAAGAAAAAAAAAGTCAAATCTCGTCATTCATCTGCTCAAAACTTTCAATGCCTTTCTATCCTACTCAGTGTAAGACCCTAACTATTTTCAATGGCCAAAAGGTCCTTCCTAATCTGTACCCAGCTTCCAGCTCTTACCTCCTAAGTCTCCCTCCACCCCAACCTTTTCATCTTCAGTTGCTGGCCTTTCTGCTATTTCTTAAAGAAGAAAAAAAAATGCCCCTACCTCAGAACCTTTGCACCTGCTATTCCTTCTGCATAATGGCTCTTTGCCCAGATGTCCACACGCCTTCTTCTCTGACGTCCTTAAGGGCTCTGGTCACATGTCACCTTACCAACAGGACTTCTCTGAGCCCCTGTCTAAAATAACATCCCCAGCCCATCACCTCTGTGACTGTCACTCTGCCTTATTTTTCTTCATAGCACTTGTGACCATCTGACATATTATGTTTATGTGTTTGTTTGTCACGTACCTCCCCACACTCAGTGTAACCCCCACATGAGCCAAAACTTTATTTTGTTTGTTGCTATATCCCCATGTCTACAGTGCAGGTTAGTACCTGTTAGAGACAAAATAAATATTTTTAAGTGAACAAAATTGTATATGAGTAGCCCCCAGGGAGTCTTATGCAGCCAGTCTGGTGAACAACTACTGGTGTAGCTAATATCAAGTAAATCTAAAATATTAAAATGTGGATTTGGTGTGGCATTTTTCTCAATTATCACTGCTTTCACAGACACCTAGGGAACAGATACCACACACGTGTATGCTTTTAAAGCTATGTCACCCATTAGCAGGCGGTAGGGCATCCGCCACGGGCATACCAGGGAGCGGAACTGCTGCTCATCTTGCTCCCTGTCTGGTTCATTCTCCAAGCAACAGCACCCCCTCCCCTTGCCTGGATGGGGATGAGCCTGCTTCTCTGCAGCCCCTGGGGAGGGAGCCATGCGAGTAATCACAGAAGCCACGGAGAGCTTACAGGATCCAGAGCTTGCTGGGTGCCAATCTCTCTGGTCATGAAATCTTTCTCTTTTGGTTTTAATTTTCTGATTTGGTCATCTTAGAACTTAATTGACATATTAGAAGCAACACAGCAAAGAATAGAAATCGTGCTGAAGGGACAGTCAGAGGGACGACCACATAAATAATACTTCCTATGTAATTAGAGCCTTATCCTTTCCGAAAGGCTTTCACATGTCTTATCCCACCTCAAGCCTCTCCACAGCCCTGTGATTAAAGACAGTGGCAGCATCCAGGCTCTCGTTTTGCAGGTGAGGAAATTGGGTCTCATAAAAGTTGGTTCTTTCTGATTAAAAAATAAGCCAACGAGGCTTTGGAGAGGAGCTTAATAAGCACCTCTCCAGAGAAGATATGCAGGTGGCAAATAAGCATGCGGAAAGATGCTTCACATCCTACAGGCATCAGGACAATGTAAATTAAAACAATGAGGTACCACTACACACCTATTAGAATGGCCAGAATCCGGAACGCTGACCCCAAATGCTGGCCAGGATGCGAAGCAGTAAGAACTCTCATTCACTGCTGGTGGCAATGCCAAGTAGTACAGCCACTTTGGAATAACAGTTCAATGGTTTCTTACAAAGCTAAATATGTTCTTCTCGTACAATACAGCAATCATACTCCTTGGTATTTTTCTAAAGGTGTTCAAAACTTATCTCCACACAGAAACCTGCGCACAAATGAGTACAGCAGTTTTATTTACAACTGCCGAAACATGGAAGCAATGAAGCTGTCCTTCAGTGGGTGAATGGATAAAGAAATGGCAGTACATCCAAACAATGAAATATTATTCAGCACTGAAAAAATGAGCTGGCCAGTCATGAAAATACACAGAGGAATCTTTAATGCATAGCATTAAGTCAAAGAAGCCAAAGCAAAAAGCTACATCCTATATGATTCCAATTACATGACATTCTGAAAAAAGCAAAGCTGTGGAAACAACAACAAGAAGAGTGTGGCTAAGAATTGTGGGGGAGAGAGGGATGGACGAATGGGCAAAGCAAGGAGGACTTTCAGGGCAGTGAGATTATTCTGTGCGATACTATAATGGTGGACACATGTAACCCACAGAGTGTATGGCATCGAGAGTGGACCCTGATGTAACTACAGACTTCAGGTGAATTGGTCTGTCGGTGTGGGCCCATCAGCTGTGATAAATGAGCCGCTCTGTGGGGAGTGTTGATACTGGAAGGGAGGGGCTGTACATGTGTTAGGTGTAGGACTATATGGGAACTCTCTGTACCTTCCCCTTAATTTTGCTCTAAACCTAAACTTATTTAAAAACCTCCACTGATTCTAAATGACTTCCCTGACAAATGTTAAACTCCATATCATCTCACTACACGCCCGTCACAAACTAATCCTGACCTGCTCTTCCAGGCTCATTGTTGTAGCCTTACTCCATTCAAACTATGCCACATTCCCCCCATAGTGTCCCTGCACTTCTCTGTGCTTTTGTACACTGTATTCTCTCTGCATGTGATACTCTTACCTGTCTTTCCCATCTGGCAAACTTATACTCACCTGTACTATTGGGTATAAGTTAGGTGGTTCTATAGAAATAAATAATCAACTGTCAGTGACATAAAACTAAAAGTTCTCTTTTCACTTATTCTATATGCCCATCATGAGTCAGTTTGGGGTCCTATTCTGATTCCTCCTTACTCCAGAACCCAAGCTTATAGAGCAGCCCCCATTTGGATTGCTGTCAGACACTGAGGCAGAAAAGAAAGAAAGAGAGAGAAGGGAGGGAAAGAAGGAGGGAAGGAAGGAAGGAAGGAAGGAGGGAGGGAAGGAAGGAAGGAAGGAAGGAAATTTTGCACTGAATTTTAAAGCTTCTATTCAGAAATAACACACATCAACTCCAATCACTTTCATTTGCCAAGCACGTAATATGCTTGGGTTCAGGCATGTAGTCAGCAGATAATTGAATTTAATTAGGTTTGGGATATGCCAGGAGAGTGGGACAGAGGAAGAGAGCCAAGGGAGAAATGTTAAAATTCTAGACCTCAGAGTCTAAGAAGTGGATAAGAAGCGAGATCATAATGGGGTGTTGGACAGTGGTGGGGTCAATGAGTTGGAGACCCCTATAAGGCTGAAGATGAATGGTCTCTGAAGGAATCCCATGTTTATTGGGAAAGACATATATAAACAAATTTGGGGTGCACAATTCAACCTACAACAACTATCTATGATTTTTCTTGTTTATTGATTTTTATTTTCCCACAACTAAACTATTTTTATTTTCATCAAAGCAGGGACTTTGTCTTTTGTGTATGATTATATCAAGGCTAAAATGGAGCCCAACACATAGTAGAAGCTCTCTTAAGAGCTGAAAATAAATGAATGAATGAATGAATGAATGAATGAACGAACAAACAGTGGGTGTCTTCCATCTTCACAATATTCTAGAGAAAAGTTAATAAATGGCCCAGTCACCTTACCATGATACATAACCTCCAAAGATGATACATATACTTTCTTCCCTCCTATATGCCTGTGCTTTTTTGCCATTGAGAAGTGGAGTTTATTTTCCCTTCTTTTAAATCTAAGTACACCCACCCCAGGACTGCTCTGATCAACACAATGCAGTAAAAATACATTCTGGGACCTCTTGGCCCATACTTAAGAGTAGAAGCTTCTATTTCCTTCCTCTTAGAACTCAGTTCCCATACTATAGAAACACACCACGTGGAGAGGCTGTATGGAGGACATCAGGTCCTCTGTTTGACTCTCCTGCTGAGCTCCCAGCTGATGACCAATGTCATCTGCCAATCATATAAATGAATTGTCTTGGACATTCCAGCCCAGTCTCACCTCTGCAGCCCCAATAACATGACATGGAACAAAACAACCTCCCAGCTAAGACCAATCAGCCAACAAAATCACAAAAAATACTACAATGGTGGTTTTCTTAAGCCACTAGGTTTGGAGGTGATTTGTTCCACAGTGATAGATAACTGAAACAGAGGCTGGCAACTAGTCATGTGTGCTGCTGTGAGAAACTTCTAAAACATGCAGGATTGGTTTGGGAATCAGAAGGTAGGTGGAGGCCTGAAGACTCTCAAGAAGACTACTGTGAAGGCTGGCAGAGGAGTGAGGCCAGCAGGATGCAATTTATAAACCAGAAGAAAATGTGAGAGAGAAACATTGATCAGTTGCCTTCCATACATACCTTGACCAGGGATGGAACCCACAATGTAGGCTCAGAGTTCCACTACTGGCCAAGGTGGAGGTGTAGGTAGGTATGTTCCGCTTCCTCACACAACTGAAAGAAGGATAACAACCAACTTAAAAACAAAAGCAACCACAACTGCCAGAAAATCGAACTTTATGGAAGTCCAACAACCAAGGAGTTGAAGAAGAAACATTTATCCAGATTGGTGCACTAAGACAAGAAATATGGCCCAAATGAAAGAACAGATCAAAACTCCACAAAAAGAACTAAGTGACAAGGAGATAGCCAACCTATCAGATGCAGAGTTCAAAACAAGTAATCAGGAAGCTCACAGAAATTATTGAGTACAGTAATAAAGTGATGGAAGAAATTAAGGTCATACCAAGTGAAGTAAAGGAAAATATACAGGGAAGCAACAGTAAAGGGAAGGAAACCAGGACTCAAATCAACAATTTGGAACTAAAGGAAGAAATAAAGATTCAACCAGAACAGAAGGAAGAAACAAGAATTTTTAAAAAATGAGGAGAGGCTTAGGAACCTCTGGGAGAACTTCAAACATTCCAACATCTGAATCATTGCAGTGCCAGGAGGAGAAGAGGAAAAGCAAGAAATTGAAAACTTATTTGAAAAAAATAATGAAAGGAAACTTCCTCAATCTGGCAAAAG